TAGCGAGGTCTCCTGCCAGGTGTCGCAGCCGGCGGCGGAGCGGAGGCCCAAGGCCGCGGTCCCCAGCCCGATCCCCAGCCCGGTCCCTAGCCCGGTCCCCAGCCCGACCTCGGCTGAAGACACAGCTACATGTTGCCAGGCGAATGTGTCTTTCCCGCCCGTGAGGCAGCTGGGCCCGGGCCGCGCGTTGCTGCTGCTGCCGGTCGAGCAGGTGGGTCACCGCGATCACCTGGGGGGCGGAGAGGGGTGGAGAAGTAGCTCCCAGGGGGTTACAGTCTGGAGGAGACTTTCTTCCCCCTCAGTCTATTGGACTGCGCGTCCTTCCTGTTGCATGGTAACAAGGTACCCTGCTAAGGGGTCTCTAGGCCTTCAGAGCTGGAAGGGACTTTAATAGTAAAAATAATAATAGGTCGCATTTGCTGGGCGCTTAGAAGTGTCAGGGTCTAAGTGTTAAAAAAACTCATACTCCAGATCCCTGTGGAGTGACTGCCATCACATTGGTATGTTTGCAGACAGAGATAGGAAGATGTAATTTGCCGGAAGTTCCATGGTAGAGGTAGAGCTAGGAGTCAAACTTAGGCACCTCTATTGCAGGATCCCTGTTATTCGCCTGGACCCTGGTCTGGGGATTTTCCCCTTTGACTGAAGGGAGATGAAAGCCCAGGAAGGAGGAAGAGCTGGCAGTCTGTGGGCCTAAGGGACAGGAGAACCCAGTTCATGGGACCCCCTTGTTTTTCGTGTGTTCACCAAGCCATCTGTAACTGCCATGGGCTATGATTTTTAGGCTGGAAATATGTGTGATGGTCACCTAGTGCAGTGGAATATATGGCTTAGAAGTTGGCTGCCCTTTGATATTTGAATAGTGAGTTAAGATTTTAGAATTTTTTAATTAGTAACTGGATCTGTGAGTTATTTCTTTCCTTTTTGTTTCCCTCTAGTGTTTTACTTTTAGCGGGATCTGTCGAGTGACTTGCCTCTATGGCCAGGTGCAGGTGTTTGGTTTTACCATCAGCCAAGGTCAGCCTGCCCAAGAGGTCTACTCCGTGTACACGCAGTCTTTCCTGACTATCCATGCTGTTCATTATTCAATGCCAGAGAAAAGCAGGAAGGCCATCAAAAGGGAAGCACGGACTTTGCTCAGATCTCATCTTAATCTAGGTAATGAAAAGAACTGGGTACTTGACTGGGACGCTACTGTGCTGAGGCCAGTGCTTTCTGGGTGTTGACTGGTCAAAACAGTGTGCTAAGCACTTTTCTGCCTCTACTTAAGCCCTCAGAGAGTCGTGAGAATGAAAGTACTATTGTTTTCACCATTTTACAGATGAGAAAAATAGTCTGGAGCCACAAAACTAGCATGTGGCCACCTACGTTGACTTTTCCACTCACCTGTGTTCCTGTGATGGCCTCCTGAAAAGACTGTCAAATATAATTTGACTTGGGGGCCAGCAGTTAGCGTAATGGCTATGTCACTGGACTCCCATGTAGTCGACCGCGGGTCAAGTCCTGGACCCAGTGGCTTAAACTCAACGCCGGGCGCGTGTGTGTGCGTGCCCAAGATCCCAAGAGGAGAAGGGATTGCAGCGTGGCCATCCTCCCCTCCACCCCCCTGGGGGGTGATTTCTCGCTTTCTGTCTCTCTGTCTCTCTCTGTCTGGGGAGCACACACGCCCTATAGCAAAAACCTCTTCAAAAATAAATAGCTTCTCTTCCTTTCTCCGCCATCGTGGTGTGAGTGGTCCCCTCGGCTCTTCACCATGTCTTCTCACAAGACTTTCAGAATCAAGCGGTTTCTGGCCAAAAAACAGAAATAAAATTGTCCTATTCCCCAGTGGATTAGAATGAAAACTGGTAATAAAATCAGGTACAACTCCAAAAGGAGACACTGGAGAAGAACCAAACTGGGTCAATGAGGAACTGGACAGGATACGGGCCACATATTTATGCTGTACCAAGGTCACTATGGTCTTGCCACATCAAGCTGAAAATGGTCACCATTGACTGGACACTTGTGTTTATTGGGAAAAAAACGATCCTTCACCTTGTCTCTAAGTTCTGCATTGGTAGGTTGGTTCAGTAATAAATATGTGAGACCTTTAAAATATACATATATACATATATATATAATTTGACTTAAAAAGATGACAGTTTAGTTGAGATGGCAGTCCTAAAGAGCACTGAATTTAGTGGTGTTATTATTCCTGTAGTTTATGTTTTTCTCTTTACAGAGGACAGACGTTGGTCAATGAAGCATTTTTCTCCTCTGTGCTCCATCGTACTGCTGGAACACCTGAAAACCTCCACCGTAAACTTCATAATCAGCTACCCAGGTTTATCCTACATTTTCATGCAAGAGGTAGAAACCATTTTTCTTTTCCTTTTTTATTTTTTTTATAAAGAATTACTATTATAGGGCACGTGGGCTCATGAGAGAGAGAGAGAAAGGGAAAGTGAGAAAAGAAAGCCCCTTGGTCAGTAACTCAAACTGTGGTTGGCCATGTAGGAGTCCAGTGCCTAAAACACCATGCAACCTGCTGGCCCAAAACCAGTTTTCTTTCTTTTTTCTTTTTCTCTTTCTTTTCTTTTCTTTTTCTTTTTTTTTTTTTTTTTTTTACCATAGATTTGGGAACTTGCCTGAGAGAGACTGAGACACTGAGAGGGAAAGTGAGAAATCACCCTGTGGCATCCCTTCTCCTTCATTCTCCTGGGATTCTGGGCATCGCAAGCACATGCCTGGCATGATTTTGAAGCTGCCAGGTCCAAGCCTTGAACTGTAGTATGTCATATGGGAGTCCAGTGCCTTAACCATCATGCTACCTACTAGCCTTAAAACCAGTTTTTGTTCAGTTTTGCTCATTACTTGCACCAAACCGTCATATCAAATGACCGTGGGAAGCTCTCTCAAGATCATTTTGTATGTGCTATTAGTGTTGCATGTCATATAGAATGAAATACACGTACACAGTTAGAAAATAGTCACTGTCGGGGCCAGCAGGTGGCGTGGTGGTTAAGGGCGCGAGACTCCCACATGGCTGACTGCTGTTTGAGTCTCGGACCTGGTGGCTTGCTTTCTTACTTTCCCTTCTCTCTCTTTCTCACTCTGTCCCTCTTTGGTCAAATTAAAATAAATAAAGTTAAATGAGATAATTCTTTATTTTTTAAATTATTTTATTTCATTTTATTTATTCATTCATTTATTTTCATTTGACCAGAGAGAGAGGGAAAGTGAGAAAGCAAGCCACCAGGTCTGGGACTTGAACCATGGTCGGCCATGTGTGAGTGTCTAGCACCCCAACCAGCATGCCACCTGTTGGTCCCCTCAATAAGATAATTCTTAAAAAAAAAAAAAAAGTCACTGTAAGGCCAGCCAATAGCATTGTGATTAAGGTGACTGGATCCCACATGACTGACTATGTAGCCAAGTCCCAGACCTGGCAGCTTGAAACCATGTTGCACACATGCCTATAATCCCAAAAGGAGAAATGGAGGAGAAGGGATTGTGGTGTGAACATCCCTTTGGTGGGTGATTTCTTTTCCTCTGTCTCTCCTATAAGCACATAGCCGTATAGCAAAAAACTACCAAAAAAAAAAAAAAAAAAACCCAGCAAGATCTGGACAAGAGGGCTTTCAGTAGCTTTCTTGGGATGGGAAGGGTGATTGGAATTAGGTTAAGAGCCTGGGAAGAGAGGAACTTCATGGTTTGATAGGAAAGGATTGTGCATTTATTGAGGTCAGCTATAACAGAAAAGAAACTAAGCAGTAGTTAGAGGGTTAAGTGTGATAAGATGGATGTAAAAAAGCAACATGCTGAGCACAACAGATAGGAATGATCCAGAGGAGGGGGGTACTGGGGGTGCAATGGAGAGAGGAAAGCATGGCTGGACCTATGTCAGCAAGTGGACCACGAGGGGTGGGTTTGGTGTCCAGGTGGCCTTTGGAGCACAGGTTCATTCAGTAACCAGAGGAAATGCTCAGGAGAAGGCCAGAGGTAATTCGAATTTCTGATTGTTTCCTGATAACCTGGGAGATGAAACCAAGGTCCTACCTGAGTTGGGGAGCAGACAGGTAAGGGCTGGAGGTTTGAAGTGAGAGGGGAGAGACGAAATACTAGCAGGGCAATGAATGAACTATTGTGATTACATTTTATTTTGTTTTAGGTTTGCTATAGGGTAGATGTGCTTGCCAGAGAAAAAGTGAGTAAGCGAGATAGAGAGAAAAGGAAAGCAAGAAAGCACCCTTAAGGGGGAATGGGCACTTCCAGTCCCTTTTCCTCCATTCTCTTGGGATTTTGGGCATGCGTGCACATGTGCCTGACATGTTTTCGAGCCGCTGGGTCCAGCTAGGACAGCACAGTGAGCCATGTGGGATCCAACTACCTTAACCTTTATGCCTCCTGCTGGCGCATATTGTGATTATACTTTAATCTACTTTTTTTTTAATCTACTTTTTTTTTTTTT